TTCATAATGTAATTGAACAGTTAAGTAGATGAAATGCTAATGACAATAAAACGGGTTCATAATGTAATTGAACAATTAGTGATTACCTGTAGAATCATTAACGACTCTCTTCTTGCCTCTCTTATTCATTTGTTGGTTAATGAAATCAAAGTCGTTACCTTCATCATCGAGTTCAACAAGTCTGTCTTTATCGTTAGTAAACTTTGAAAAACTATTTATCTCCCTCAATCTATGGCTAAAACGCCTCCTACCTGTAAAAGACCAAGGGATTACAATGCGTCAATGATCTCCAATTTCACTGTTCGGTTTCTATAAAATCGAAAACGATATCAATAAATATGACATACCTCCATTATTGCCGACCATTTTTCTTGAATATACTGGTGATCGATGTTTTTGGTAACACTATATTCGAAAATGGAGAAAGATTACCTTCGCCGGATTCTGAGGGTTGCATGCGATGAAGACGGGATTGAATCGGAAAAGGAATCGAGGAGTTACAAAATGTTAACTTTGTTTACCAATTATATCCTTATTGATGAAATAAAATAAATATTAATTATTTTTTAATTTTTAATTTCCWAAAATAAAGTAAAGTAATCTAAGTCATTGATCAAGAAAATGGATGGATGAGATTGGTTTACACGGTTTACACAAATGGTCAAGTTTTTATTTGAACGCTCCTCTCTCTCTCTCTCTCTCTCTCTCTCTCTATATATATATATATATATATATATATATCTAAGTGTTTGATGACATTAAATTACCCAAATCAAGTAACTCTAAACCATAGAGTGCGTTTGCAATAAAATTGAAACACTCACTTATAGATTAAAGCAATCTAGGCGGATGTAGTATACTCGCTTAAGTGAATACTTGATTGGGAAGGGAATATAAGAACGATGAATCTTGCCTTTGCATATTTATAAAGAAAACGAGTTCTAGAATTTCAATTGTAGCTTTATATGTAGATATTATGAACATAATAGACACTCTTGATGAAATAGGAGGAACCACAAGCTACTTGAAATCTAAATCTGAGATAAGGGATATTGGAAAAACTTGGTTTTGTCTAGCTATTTGAGATAAGACAACGAGTGTGTGGATTATTATTCCACCGATTCGCATATGTCATGAAAATGATCAAGTGCATCCGGCTAGCATTTCCTTGATCGGTCGAAGTGTTGGATATATGGAAAGATCCATTTCGTCTAAAGGATGATGACAGAGAGGTGTTGGGAGTTGGAATTCCTTATCTAAATACTACATGAGCATTATTGTACTTAGCACAATACACTTGACCATATATTGTATCTTTCAATGAACATGTTAGCTATATTTAGCTCAGCACCAACGCAACGTCATTAAAATGATATCAAATTAATCTTTTAGAACCATTGACGTGAGCTTATACTTTCCCTACATAGAGAAAAAGGGGATTGATAATGGAACTTCAATACCTACTTAGATAGTAAACAATGAAAGTACTAGCCCTTACAGAAAACAACAAACAATATCTTGGTATGTATTTGGTGATATTAGGTATCTATGTGCCTCATACAAAGGTTGTTCCCATACTGAATAAGGAATTACCATAAGGAAAATGATGATTGCTTGGAAGTAAACTAAGCAAACCCTTGTATCTACCTCTTCGAACTATTCCAAGAATATTACTCTACATGAGACTATTCAATAGTGTACATGGTTAAAGACTATCATTACACATATTAGAGAAGCTAGTGTTTTGAGTTCATCCAATATCCTACCTACATATATGGAAATAATGCATCGTGTATCAAAGAAATGAAATTAAGATACATCAAAGGTGATAACACAAAGCATGTAGTTTTTAAGTTTATATACAATCAGCAATAAAAAAAAAAACTCTCTTCTAGTCCTATTTAAGGCATAAGGTATTAACGAGGCAAGAATTATGCACCATCACTCATTTGATTTGACATAAGGTAGAGTGTTGTAGGATAAGTGTGTCATTGTCAAAAGGATATGATGATAGAGATAGATATATTTTAGAGTTAGATTAGAACTGAAATATCTTGTAGTTATCTACTGGTAACACATCCCTATATAAAGGGCTTTGGATTAATGAGAATTACATATTTATTCTCTCTATTTACTGTTGTTCTAAATGGCTTTGATATAAAATGAATAGCACTGAAACCAAATCCAAACTCATGGTTTAGGGTTATCGCGTGTAGCGACTTTGCCCAAATATGTGTCAGGTTTGACGGCTCTCCGCTAGCCTTAGCCGCTGAGTGAGCCGAAAAATGCCCTCTCATATTGATGTACTTGGAGGCGGGTTCCGCGTGGAACCAGTTGGGGTTGCTGCTAATCAACTTTTTGCCCAAATAAACATATTTTAGGGACTCTACTCGTAATCCTCCAGCCAACCCCCCATTTCTAACATGGTTCTTAGGATATCTACAATGGATACAACCAAATTCAAAAAATTGGTGTGTAAACAATAAATCTTCTCTAATGGGTAACATTAAAATATAAGATTCTAGTGTATTCTTTTTTATCTTCTCCAATCAGCATAAATTTTGGTACAAATGAATAACAGTACACCAAATTTAATGTCCCCTTTAAAGATTGTCTCAAGGCTCCATCTGCAACAAAGAGTCAAGAAACCTCAAAACAGATAAAATCAGGGACAATTTTTATGACAAGTGTTCAAGCTAGCTTGCATGTAACACTCAAACAAACCTTGGTAATTTGGACTGGAATCGGTGATTTCAAGGAACAAACCCAAGGTTTTACTAGTTTAACTATTCCTTTGAGTTTAGCCTAGATTCACTTGTTGAAACTAAATCACGCATGACAAAAACAGGACGAGCCAGGATAAAATGGATTGAACCCATATATTTGAGAGAAACCTCAAATCAACTCTTAGGTGTTCTTTGGTTCCCATAATTCAGAGGATTTCAATGGAATTGGAACGACCAATTCCTTTGACCAAATTCCAATTTCTTTGTTTGGTTCAAATATTGAAATAGACGGAATCATGTGAATTCCACAAATTAATGAATTCATCATTCCTTGGCATAAGTAATGAATGATGAATTCCTACCAACCAAATGTGTGGTCAAAGTCTATCAAATTCCATCGCAGTTCCTTCTAAGTCAAATTCCTTTGATGTACTCCAATTCTATCAAAATTCATTCTGTAAACCAAACGACCCTTAATATCAATTTGTAACATAAAAATATGAGTATTAAGGGTTACAGATGAGCCTATTTATAGGCATAATAAAGTAGACATTGTAAATAGATCCAAACAAGGAAAACTTAAAAGATTAACTAGAAAATTAAAATACCAATCCTTAACCCAACTAGTAAAACAAAATAAAGGATAATTAAGAACCTAAAAACTAATATTAAATTAAGGCACTTGGCAACTCACTCGTGGGGAATGAAATCCCCAAATTCTTTAATTGATTATTACCTAAAATCAAATAATAAACAAAAACTATGAGATTTTGTTTTACTTTGTGTTTCTTTCGAATCTGTTTTTCTTTCTCCCATTCAATAGAAAAGTCTGTTAAACTTTGGATTTGCTCCGCATCACTTAGGTAACGTTTGATATGAAGATATAATTGGATATGACTGGATAGAACATGGATATGACTGGACAGGACAAGAGAGCAGGACAAGAGGGTAGGACTAGACATGACAGTAATGAACATAATAAGTGTCTCTTTGGTGTTTGGTATGACTAGAACTAGACATGACAAAACTATAAAAGTTGCCCCAAAAGTTATTTTATGATTTTATATATCATATAATAGTTATAATTAACACAAATAAAGTCAATATTTTAATTTATAAACATTTTTACACAATTTTCATATACACAAATATAAAAAAGTACTAAATTTGAATGAATTTTTTTACATAATTGATGGTAGTTTAAAAAACTCGATTCATACAAAGAAGAAATTATGTTTTATTCGGTTTGGAACATCCTTATCAATTGATGAAGGCACAGTGAAGATTGTTTCAACAACAGTGGTTGTGGAGGTATTAGCATCGGTAATTGGTGGACGATGATGGTTGTGGAGGATGTGAAGATGGTGGATAGTGGTGGTGATGGTGGCGGTCGACAATGGTGGAGGAAGTAGTTGTGGCCTATGTGGTGGAGGTAGGTGTGATGGTGGGCAGTGGTGGTGGCCGACGATACTAGTGGTGGTGGAGATGGAAGGTGGTGGTTGTGGAGGACATGAATATAGTAGATAATAGTAGTGATAGTTGGTGGTGGTAGGAGTGGTAGTGGTAGCCGATGGTGGTGGTTATGGTGGAGGTGAGGTGGCCCATGGTGGTGGCAACGAACGGTGTTGGTCGGTGGCCGATGATAGTTTTGAAGGTGGTGGTGTAGTTGAAGAAAAGGTGAAAGCAACTAACGGTGGTAGTGACAATGGACGGTAGTGGTCAGTGGTCGATTGTGGTTGTGGAGGTGGAGGTGGCCAACGGTGGCTACCAGTGGTGGCGTCGGCTGCAACTAGTGGTGGTGACTATTAAAACAAATATCATGTTAAGGTTATATATCAAAAATGAGAGTTAATTAGTAATATTTTAGTTTATGTCTTATTCTTGTCCCATATTGTTCCATCTATTTTAGTGGAACAAGAAAAAACCTTTTTTGTCCCACGATGTTCTACCTTGTCCCAGTTTTGTCACTGTCCCATATCATACCAAACGTGGGACAATGAGTTCTTGTCTTGTCCCATGTCGCATCAAATGTGGGACAGTGAGTTTTTGTCCCTCTTGTCTCATGTATCAAATGCAACCTAAAAGACAATAAAATCTAGACTCATTAACATCTAGAGAATTGAAAGTTTGAAACTCTAAAACGTGTAATAAGAACTAGAAAATCTAATCCAAACCGTGAATCAATTAAAAGAAGCTAATATAATCAACATTTCGCACTCGATAAACCCGTTAGTAGCTCATTGAATCCAACAAAGATATTGGATTTATATGAAGTGATGAAATGTTTACTTTTCTTATTTCCACATTGAAGAGTAGCTTCAACACATACTTCATGTCAATTTCATTAGAAAAAAGATAAAAGAGAGAAACTTACAATTGAATCCTAAAGTTACAATCTCGTCCCACTGCAGGATCATTGACTCTTTCAGTACATCGAGTACAATGATCATCGTCTCTTTCAGGATCTGCTGTAGTTTTTGTTCCAGAATTTAGGCATCCTTGGTTGAAAATCCGGTTGTCGCTTGTAAATGAGTGAAGCGGCTGCAATCAAGATCCCAGCCGTTAGAGCCCATATCACATACACCTTGTTATTTGTTTCGTGATCAAAATAGTGAAGCACGTATTTGTCTCCTTGAAATTCTTTCTCCTCCTGTCGCCTGTTTTTGTTCTGGATCACCAAAATCCCATTTTCAACTTTCAAGAATATGATTGAATTCGGTTGGTCATGTAGAGAAAAGCAAGTTTACGAACCTTGAGAAACATCTCTAAAGGAGCATAGAATATCGATTCTACTTCTTCAGCATTTGGAACTGGATTGAATGATTGCTTATCCCATAGTATACCAATCACTGGAACTACTGTAACATTGCCCTGCCATTACAATCAAAAGGGGCTCTTTTTAGATAGAGATTCAAAGGGGTTCTACATATCCTAACGTGAATCACATCTCATCTTACCCACACTATCTTTTGTCTGATTTAAGTGTATTGAATGGAAATTTATCATAAACATTTCAAAAGCAAGAAACTGCAAGGACAGGTATTCTGGTCTGAAGTGCTTGTAACCATACCAGATGTGTCACATATCCCCCTCCCTTCGTTTTTTCAAATAATTAAGGTTCTTGTGTTCTCGTTGAGTCCATAGATGGCATAACAAATAGAAAAAGAATCCTTTTGTTTCAGTAACTAATGTGTCTATTATGGTTCTTTAACACAAAGCACACACTAGCTCCTAACAACAATTATCAATGCTTAAATCATGTCTGCTGTGTTTGCAACACACATTTCTCGGTGTGTTGGATCTTCGTTCCTTCTAAACAGAAGTGGCAACAAAGCAAACAGATTACAATTTCGCTTCTTGACCATCATCAGTTCAGAGAGAGCCACACCCCCATTGTTAGAATGGTGTTTAATAGACTCGAGGTTTACTTGCTAGTTTTTAAGGATAGTATGATGTTAGCAGGAATAGTGGGTATGTAGTAATTGCTAGTAAATTGTATGCTCTATTCAATAGAGCTTGTTCTCTCAGTTAACATAGTATGTAATTTCGAGATTAATACAATGTAGTCTTTGATTCAAACATCCATTATATGGGAATTTTGACGAAAGCAGAAACTTGTACAAAATTGTAATTAGGGCAGATTAGCAATATCAATTTCTAAGTCTACGTATCATGTTATCACATAAAACTCTTGTCCAGTAGCAAAGGAACAATGAGGGAGATGGAAAAGGGTTCAAGGACAGTAATAACATCTAGTTCTTATTGCAACAAAAATGGACCAAAATACTTGTACCTTAGTTATAAAAGGTTCAAGAACAGTAACCACATCTACAAGACCAGGATCCAAACCAATCTCCTCCTTAGCCTCCCTCAACGCAGTTTCAATATCATCCCTATCCTCTTCGTCCCTTCTACCTCCCGGCAAAGACACTTCTCCTGCAAAACAAACTCATTTCAACTTCATTCAGACATATTATCGAACACCAGAGTGCACGACTTTCTTTACCGGAGTAAGACGATAATTTGGATGATCGTTTGGTTAGAATAACATGTACGTCATTTCCTTCCTCGAATAGACATATAAGAACTGCAGCTCGGTTGGGTCTTTTGAATGTTTCAGATTGGTTCGATTCAGCAGCATCTGGAAGAGGGGAAACAGATTTTGATTGCCGAAAGCGTTGATACAAGTCTACTAGTTTCCCTGATCTTGTATTGTTATTGGAATCCATGAACAATATTCAAGAAATGATGTTGAGTTGTTGTTTGGTGGCAAGTTTTATGGGTGGTTAATGGTCAACAATGGGTGGAGTGATCTTAATTCTTGTTACAGGACAAATGGACAAGGTGGGTTACAAGATAAATTAAAGGAAATCACCAAAAAATAGTCGATTTATACATGATGTATTGATAAAATAGTCACTTTTCAACGTATTTCATAAAATAGCTAACAGGATCGTGTTTGGGGACGATTTGGCCAAAAAAGTATGGAAGAGGTCCTATATGTATCTGATTTGGGGGAATAAAAGTCAGATATTTATCTGAAAAATGGGGATCCCCCTGGGGTGATTTGACCAAACGTTGACTGCTATTTTGCCCTTCAGTGAGGACATCCTATGACGCATCGATTTGACAATTAAGAGGTGTTTTTCAATCAATGGGGGATGATTTTAACTAGTATTTTGTCTGTTTTAGGACCAAATGTAGTATATATATATAAATGTTGTGGGTTTTCTTTATAAAATCAAGCACTTCTATTCTCATAACCTGTAATCTTTAAACACAATCTACTATCGCAACTCTTAACACAATATGAAATCACGTCAAACTTTACAATTTTTACTACTTTTTTTAAACGCATAAATGAACCAACATATGTTTTTATATTTTCTTATAAAAATATATTTTTTATGAAAAACCAACTAATGTTAATATTTTTTAGTAATTGCTCATATGAAAAGATTATTTGTATCTGATTTGGGGGACAAAAAAATCAGATATTATATCTGAAAAATGTCAGGATCGCCCCCACAACCCTAGGATCGCCCTCGGGGGCTATTTGACCATAATTTTGTCATTTAGTGGCCTACAATTTGAAGACGATTTGACAATTCAATAACGATTTGACGATCTATTTTGTCTTATTACGTAACGATTTATATAAATAGGCGGTCGAATGAGACCATTATCACCATCCACACCGACCAACGACCACCGAGCATATAGAAATACACCTCCTCTGGCATTCCGATCCCCCTCGACCACCAATCACTGTCTACCGACCATCAACTACCGATCATTGATCACCATCTCCTGACCAACGACCACCGACATCCACCACTGTCTACTGACATCTACCACCGTCTACTGCCACCTACCACTGTCTGTTGTCAACTACCACATTTTGCCGTCACCTACCACCGTCTGTCTGCCACCACCGGCCACCGTCTACCCTCACCGACCACCGTACACCGCCACCGACCATTGTCTGCCGCCATCTACCACGGGCTGCTGCCAACTACCATCGTCTCCGCCACCTACAATCATGGAACAACCGTTAAAAAGTCGCAATTTTTTGAATTTAACTTAAGAATCTATTTTTTTCTAGTATTTAACTTAATAATCTATATTTTAATTTTGTTTAGATTAATTCTGTATAACATTTAATTTTTGACAGGTGTTCTACAAGTCGTTATTGACGTTGAAAGCTCAAACTTTCATATTAAAAAATAATAAACGAAATATTATCAACTAACACAAGGGAGTTTAACATGTTAAGAGATAGATGTTTCGGGTCATGGTTATATATATATAGACTTTGGATCATGTGAGACCAAGGGTTTTTCGTGAGACTCGTAAGATCAATTCTCAACCCTTGGAGTAGATCTACAATCTGAACATTCATAATCACAAAATTACCACGAAGCTTCTCAATATTCACAAAATTGTCACCGTGCAACTTTAGACCATTAGATCATTAGCTTATAAAGTTGATCAATGAACATAAATTGGTCTTACGGGTCTCACGAAAAACCTTTGGTCTCACATGAACCCAACCCTATATATATATATAGACTTGGGATCATGTGAGACCAATGGTTTTTC